AAGAAGAAGAAGAAAAAGCGAAATAGCAGGTTCGATAGCGGCACGTCCAAGCTGGCTGAACCTGCGGCGAATCGTCTCCCAGTGGAGTCGCAATGCCCAGCATTTTCCATCCGTAAGCGGAAGCGTTTTGGAGTAGTCCGAGTTCCGTGACAAATATTTCGCTCGATGGTCTCATGATTATTGCCAGAAGTGCCGATCTGGAAGGCGGGACTTCCCCCAAAGCTCCCGCCGGCGATTCCCCCCCGAAGTGCTGGGGGGACAGCATCCTGACCCGGGGCCCCCCCTCGCACACCGGGCTGGCGACATTCATTCTGACGCGAAAACTTCCCCCCCCCCCCAGGATTCCCCCAGGGCGGCAGAAAAGGAGCAAAGAGCAGGGGCGCATCTTCGATTTGATTGCGACATTCCTTTTCTTTGTTTCTCATTCTTCTTGGGACCGACGACAGTGACGACGACGACGACGACGACGACGACGACAACGAGGACGACGACGACGACGACGACGACGACGACGACGACGACGACAACGATGACGACGACGCGCCGAACACGTCGAAGGGTCGCGGAATCGTTACGGCGGCACTTTGCAAAGCCAGCGGACCACATGCATATGCGCGTGTCAGCGTTGATGTTCAAAGAATTGGAGGTTCAAGATGCGAGATCATGATGCACACATTTGTGCGCAACCATCTGTATGTAGAGTCCGATGGAGACGTGGACGTTGTGTGAGCTTGAGAAGGAACCAACGGGAATGGAAGCGGCCAAAAGAAGGCGACAAGGAAGCCAACAGGAAGCCGAGCGGCTGCCGGAGAGCGCGGCACCCGGAGCCCAGGAGAAACCATCAGAGGCCGCAGGAAGCGAAGCGGCGACCAGAAAGTATGGTCCACAGGGCCGATCGGGGAGGAAGCCGTCGGCAGCTAGAGGACGCCTTGCGGCGATTAGAAAACGCGGCACCGGGGGCCAGTGGAGGGAAGCCTTCAGAAGCAATTGGAGTCCTAGCAGCGAGTGGCAAAAGGCGGTGCACGGGGCCTGTCGATGGGGCAGCCATACAAAGCCATGGGAGCCCCAGTGGCGGCGGGAAGATGCAGCAAATAGGGCCAGTGGGGGAGGAAGCTATATGACGCCATAGGATGGCAAGCACCAGTTTGGAAGTTCGACATACAGGGACAGTCGAAGGTGAAGCCATAAGTCAGCGCAAGCTCAGCAGCGACTGGAAAAACGAAGCAAACAGGGAAGGCGTGAGCGAAGCGTTGAGATAACACAGCGGCGACGGGAAGATTTTGCGAACAGGGCCAGTGGTAGTGAAAGTTACAGGAAGCCATAGAGAGCTAAGGAGATGGTGGACCGTGCGGCGCACAGGGCCAGCGCAGCAGGAAGCCAAAGGAAGCCCAGCGCCGACTGGAAAATGCAAAACACGGCGCCCGCGGGGGCGAAGCCATCAGCAGCCATAGGAGTCCAAGCGGCGAGAGGGCAACGCGGCTCGCAAGGCAGCGGCGACGGGAAAAGGCCTGCACATAGGGCCAGTGGCAGCGAAAGCCACAGGAAGCCCAGCGGAAGTTTCCGCTAACAGGGCCATTGGGGGAGGAAGCCAGAGGAAGCCCAGCGGCTATTGTAAAATGCAACACACGGGGCCAGCTATAGGGAAAGCCGTCAGATGCCATAGGAGTCCAAGCGGCGAGTGGGACATGCGACTCACGACGCCGCGCAGGGGCGAAGCCATGGGAAGCCCAGCGTCGACGAGAAGATGTTGCGCGCAGGGCTAGCGGGAGTGAAAGCTATAGGTACCCACAGGAAACTAAACAGCGACCAGAAGGTGCTGCACTCCAGCGCCAGTGGGAAGAGGCCAGAGGAAGCCAGAGGAAGCCCAGTGCCGACTGGAAAGTGCGACAAACCGGTGCAGTTCCGTAGGGCCCAAGTGAGAGCTCAGCAGTGTATGCACTGCTTGACGAGACAGAGCCGCTTGCGTCCCGACCAAATCGTTCCCGTGCGTTGGTACAGCACGCAAGTGCATCGGCGCCAAACTGATCGGCCAAGACCTTTTAAAAGTTTTGACAGTCTGTCTTCCGGCTGGCGAGAAGTCCGGGAGGTCGGGTCGGCCGAGGCAGGAAGGCGAGGCCGCAGTCACACGGAAGCTTGCTCCTGGTCAGTGCCAATGTGCATTCTCAGACTTCAGGGCCAGACGTGATGTTCACGTTTCCCGCGTACGCCATAGTATCTGCACACTATAGTGTGACGCACAGAACCTCCCAAACCACGCGTGGGGGGGGGGCAACATCCAGTGTCGTCGTGAACGGGTTCCGGTGCTTCACCACCTCATCCTGTTGCAGCGTGATGCGATGTGCAACCAATGGTCAACCACCCGAATGCGCGGACGAACGAGTGGGAGCCCATCGAGTTTGAAGTTCGCCAATAGTAAATCGAAAACACGTGCTGTGCAAGCGCATGCAGCCGTACCAACCCTGTCGATGTTCACCATGCTTGTTTCGAGCTGCTCAATTGCAGGTGGCACGCGCAAGCATTAGCACAACGGTCGTGGCGTCCAATAGTGTACGTAGCCGAGGCCTTTACAGCATGTTTGTAGTTGTGTGCCTACGTGATAGATACGAGGCGCCGAAAAATAAGACATGCTGTTGAGCTTCACTAGGGCTCTCATGGCAAAGGCTTCGCTCCGCGAGTTTCATTTGTTGGTTTCATCATAACTTCCCGTTAAGTGGTCAAGAGCATTTTGCGAAATGATTTCGTAATGCGAAGAAGTCGAAGACGCTTACGGCGAATCACCGCCGCCCCTTGCATTTCTGGAATTGCCGATGTGGACAAACGAAGGGCCGAATATTGGCCAAACTAGTCGAATCTATGTTTCCCCGGCAGTGGCCGAAACCTTTGGGAACCGTTTTCGGGAAGGAAGAGAGGGAGGAGAGGACAAGAAGGAGGAGAAGGAGGAAGAGGAGGCCCACTGCGGCCCTCTTGGGCCCTCCTGGGGGGTTCCTGGGAGCTTCCTGCAGGATTGGCCAGTCGTGGAGCCCTCATGTGGGCTTCTACCTCCCGAAGGCGTCTTTGGGCATTTCAGCGGCTCTTCGGGGGACTGGGGGGACTTGGGCGCCATCTTAGGGTGGAGGGATCGGAATATCAGTTCGCGCGTCCCCTCTTCGGGCCGTCTTGGGGGGCTCATGTGCTCATCTTCGAAGCTTCCTGGGCCGCATGGGCCTCGCTGGGCCGTCTTAGGGGCCCAGTTGGGGGCCTCTTGTGCCGTGTTGAAGGGCCAGAAGCCCAACAAGACAAAGACGGCAAAATTCTTCAATAACCGTGGCAAACAACATTGTACCATTTGGATCCCTATTGGGGCGTCTTGGAGGCTTCTTAAGCCGTCTTGAAGTCATTTGCGGCGTTTGGGGGCGTTTTTGGTTCGTCAAGGGGGTTTGGGGGATCTTTGTTGGCCGTCTTTGGGATTTCTTGTGTCGGGAAAAGTTCGGCGCCAAGCGCCAAAAGAGCGGGTTGCGGGGACACGCGGTACGCCTTAGAGGATCCGTGAATTCGGGGCCCAGACACTTCCATAAATCTGGGGGCTGAGAACCTTGGGGACCTGAGGGCACTCCAATTCGTGCCTCGAGGCACGGCTATTTACAACCATCGCGCGCGCTCGGTTTATATTGATATAGGGACCCAACCTACTGCCCACCGCTCCCGTCATCATCATGATCACCATCATCATCATCAGCAGCATCAGCATCATCATCACCACCACCATCATCACCATCATCAGCATCAGCATCATCATCATCACCACCACCATCATCATTATTACCACCACCGTCGCCATCATCACAATAATCCGTAGGGTGGCCCCTGCCCGGCCATATCTGGTCTGTATTGGCACTCTCTTGGCTTGCATGGGGTTCTCTTGGGGCTCTCTTGTGGCCTCATGGGGCCGTCTTAGATCAAGTTCGGGCTCTCTTGGGTATTCCTGGGGCCGTAATGAAAATTCTTCGTGGGAGATCACGGGGCGCTTGTCAGCCGTGTTGCATATTTTCTGGGAGGTGTCTTCATGGACCGCCTTGGGCTCTTCCGCAAGCCCTTCTCGGACCCTTTGGGATTACAGTCGGACTCTGTTGGGACAGCCCGTCCTCGGCTCATCGAGCGCGGCATAATGTATACGTTGATTTAACCGGCATAAGTATGACAACGGTGTTCTAGCTTGCTTGTTCTCCGTACTTGGAAAATAGCCAGCTTCAAAGAATTAGTAGTGATTTCGGCTAAGCCCGAAGGAAACCAAGCCAAGAAGAAAGTTGAAGATGATGATCAATGACAAGATTTACCGACATGTGGCGGGATGAAGGCCGCCGCGCCACAGATGCCGGTTTCTCTGAGAAACATGTGGTCAGCGAGCATGCCGTGGAAAACGGAACCTTTGCCGATGACCAAGGAGGTCTGGCACCACTTGGGAGCCCAGGCCCTTGCCGAAAACCAGTGTGGATTGGTCGAAGGTGAAGCTGGAGATCAGTTTCCTGCACAAGAAGATCATTGGGCATGGCCTCGCAGACTTGGCCACGTGGCCCGTCACTTCCCTGGCGGACCTTGGGGAACGGACCCAGCAGCGGAGTAGATACCTCTTGCAGTATGTTGCGACGCGTCTTGAGTTCTTGGTGCACATGGTTTCGTAATCAACCGTTTCTGGGAACATGGACCATGGGAATTGTTGTCCCTTTGCCGAGCAGGCCCCCTGGCCGCTAAGAAAAAGGGAATTCGAGTCGCCCACCACTGGAGCCACGCACACTCGCCTCAGAGCCGCCAGGCCCGGCATGGAGTCGACCACGCCACGCACACTTGGGACACGAACCTACACCGAGTGGCGAGCTCGCCGACCATCTACAGCATAGCGCAATCTATCCGACAACCCGATCTCCTGGATAAGGCTGGGCCGCCAAGCACGCATGGTCAGGAAGGTGTAGCAGTGGTATTGGTGGTCCAGGTCCAGGTCCAGGTCCAGGGCTCTGTTTCCGCAGACTTCTTATTCCTCCTCCTCCTCCTCCTCCTCTTCCTCCTCCTCTTCTACCTCCGCCTTTCCTGGGCAGCAGCCGCGCCGCCGCCTCCTTTCTTGTCCGTTTCCTTCGCCGCCTGCGCTGGCGCACCAGCAGTGCTCCAGAATGCCCTTGCGGACCTGCGCATGCCACTCCAAGAGGGAATGGTTTGGACTTGCATCCTGCAGCGCCCGCCGGCCCTGGCGCGTTTGCAACGCATCACCAGGTGGTAGCAGTGGCCGCTTGTGTGCGAGCCTTGGGCACTCCCGCAGGACACGGCAATGGGTTTGGTTTTTATGCGTCAGGTTTCCGTGTCATCCGAAGTGTTTTTTTCCCCCCCCCGCCGCAGCGCGCCCACAACATCGCCAAGAGCCTGAACCGAAAACCAGTCTGGGGTGAAACAGCGGCTAAGCAGCAGAGAGCGGCAGCTCAGTAGAGCGAAAGGAGGAGGAGGAGGAGGAGGAGGAGGAGGAGGAGAGATCAGACAATCTCGAGCTCAGCCAGAGGGCACGCTGGCTCACGAGATGTCTGCGGCAAATCACCACCTGGAGTCAGAATAGTTCTCGCAATGGCTCGCTGCACCGCCATGCCTAGAAGCCCTGCCCACCTGTGTAGTAAGCCCAGGCCCATGCCCCGCCGGAGCGCATCACTTACATCTCTCGTGCGTTCTCGCGCAAGCAGTGGCAGTAATTGTACCGCTTGCGGTCCCATCCTGCCGTAGACCTCTGCACCTAGTGATTGTATAGATCCCAACCCACTATCGCGCACTTCGTGGTAGATGCTGTTGTTCGCAGTTTCAGCCTGTTCCAACAGCCGCCCTCCGTAGTTGTTTGTCCCTGATCTGGGGGCCCCATTCCCTGAAATCGGAGAAAGAACTGTTGCATCGCAGAATAAAGGTAGACCTCCAGCTGCATTTAAACAGGGAGCCACCAAATCAATACGTCGCATATCCGTTGGTGGTACTGGGATGTGTGTTGTATGCAGCACGCGTTCTACATTCCGGTCTGGAATGTACGATCCAGCTTCCGTCAAAACTTGCCTCCATGCTGCAACGAATTCCCGGTGGCGGCCGTGGGTATTGCCTCCGAGAACTGTCGCGAGAGCTGCGTGCCCGTGTGGGTCTGGAGATTCGTGGGCGCACGCCAAACCCAGCCGACGGCGTATAGCACATTGCAGGGCCTCGGTTGATAGCGTAAGCCCGGCGCACGTCGGGCATACGAGGAGCCATACGGAGGCGAACGGCCCCATGCACGAATACAGTCGGTTCTTCCCAGCGGAAATCGCATTCGCCCGTCGATTGGGCAACGCTAGTTGACGGAGAAGGTCTGCGTGTGTAGATTTTTCAATGGGATTGGAAGCGCAGAATTGCCATCCATATTTCCAATCCCCGAGCAAAGGATCGTCTCCATCTGTGTGTCGTTCGGGTGGCCGGGTGCCTCCAGCTATGTCCGTCCACGTTGGTTTGTCTGTCCACCCGTGTAATTCGCAATGTGCGCCAGCGAGTTCTGCCTCAAGTAAACAGGCAGGTTCCCGGCGAGAGCCCATGTGGGTTGCAGTAAGATGGTGTAGAATATTTCGCGCAAGCATGGGGAACCGTGTAACCAAAACTGGTAGGACATCCGCCCAGCTACCCCAGTAAGCAGCGGCAGCGCTGCGTATTGAGCTCCGCAGACCCATACCTCCCAAGCGTAGTGGTAGACTGGCTTGTGTAACCCATGCGTCACCACCATTACCACATAGCGGGAGACCAAGTAGACCTCGGAATGCTTGTAAAATGGCAGCATCGTGCGCCATGGCAAGTGGTTGAACCTTGTTTGGTGGGAGGTTGCGTAGTAGATGATTAAGCCGGGGCACCGCACAATAGTAAAGAAGAAGCCAAGCAGTTTGTAAAGAAGGGAGCTTAGGTAAAATATTCCATAGCTGCGCCCTCTTTTCGGCAATGGTTTCGCCGAATGCTTGTACACATTCTTCACTACCGAATGGTGTCCCTAACACCTTGAGGCCTCGTTGTGGGAGCGGCGCATCAGATTTTCAAGCGTTCGGTGCGACATTGGCTAAATCTTGCGGGCAAGAACCAGGTTGATGCCCCCACACGGCCAATTTGCCCACATGCACGTCGATATGGCATACATTCCGTAATACTTTTTGCACATCGTCTAAGATAGAAGCAGCGTCAGTCGGATCGCATGCAACATATATGTCGTCCAAATAAACCAAAATTTCAGCTCCTGGCGGCAGTCTGGATTGGATCTCGCTCAGTGCCCGGCGCAAGGCCAAACAGAACAATGCTGGTATAAGTGCGTCCCCTTGCTCACCCCCGTCGCCTTGTAGTATTGTATGCGCACAGCCAGTATTATCAACCCACCTGAACTCTGTTGTTTCTTTGTACCATTGCCGGACGAATGGAACCAAACCTGTCAGAGCAGGTATTGTCATAAGTTCCTCGAACATACGAACACGACATACATGGTCAAACGCACCAACCCCGTCAATACTGAGTATCACTTTCTGTGGATTGGCATCTGTCAGGTATTGTAACAAATGTACCGCTGCATCTGCACCACTGCGATCAGCAATTCCGAAGTTATGGGGTTCTACCGTGTGTCTCAAGACGTCTTGGAATTGTTTCGCTAGAGATTTGGATACCAACCGTCGTAACGCATCCCCCGCGGCAATACCTCTGACTTTGTTGTCGGGTTTCTGCAGGGCCGTCAAGAAAGATATCCGCAGTGCTGTTGCAACTAGATATGGAATCTTAGCTTGAGCAATATGTTCAGCCACATCACATAGCAAATCACATGCCGTCGTATCTTCCAAACAGAGCTTGTAATATTCATATCGTGCTCCCCACATCCCAGAACTCAAGCCCCTGCGAGATGTTCGGAGAACATTGGCGAATATATGTCTGTCCAACACAAGGTCATGGTCAGGTTGGAAATCAGGCAGGTTCGCTGGTAATGGTTCGGAGGGTTCTGTTGGTCGGAGTTGTGGATGGCGGAGTTGTGCTAAAGTTTCTGGTGTGCCAGGGGCAAGTCCGGGAGAGGTAAGATTCCGAGCTGCATGGCTCAGTTCTCCTGTCCGGACTAACTCTGAGGCCTGCTCGAGACGGCGGTCCAATTCTTGGTCTGGAGTTCGCGTGCGTTGTCGTTCTCGTTGCCGTCGCGTCTCTTGATGCTGAAATTGGTGTCGGGCCGAGGCCATAAGGATATCCCATTCTCCCCGGTCGAACGCACCAATGCGATTTTTGAGCTCGCGTGATCCAGCTTCCCCCCCATGAGAGGTGTGGTGTAGAAGTAAACGTGGTAAGAGGATAAGGAGAGTCCAAACCCGAATGCAATCCCCTTCAGTATGTCTTCCGTGCGCCCACCCTGTCGTAACACCAGTGACAGTAGCTAAACATTGTGTCAAAATACGGAGGTATTGGTCACGTATGCAACGCGGCACAGCTTTCATCGTTGGGATGCGGACGTCGATTTCGACCCGAAGGTCAATGGGTAAGAGATGCCTCCAACCATTCGGCAGCCTGCGCACTCCTGGTGGGAGATGCGTGAGAATATCATCACTCTGGTTGGGTTGCTGTTCTCGTGGTTCCGAGTGTGCGCCGACACGTGGTTGGCTACATTGGGATCCGGTCCCGGGTCGGACAGCAACCCGATTGTATAATTTCTGAAATAAGAAATGTCGTAGTCTACCGTTGAAGTAAATATTCTCCGCTACGCCAACATATGCCAGCTCCAAGTCAGAGACCCCCCCATTTATTGTCGACGCACGGTCTAAGATATGTTCTTGTTCTGCTGGCGCCCCCGCTCCCGCCTCCTTCTGGTGCCCCGGGCGTTTCCCGTCTCCCATTGCAGGCGCGTCCCCGCTCAGGAGGTGAACGGCCGTGCCCTACCCAAGCACCAGCTGGTCTACGAGATGGTTGCGGAGACGATCTTACCGCCGACGGTGCGCCTCCGCCCGCCCCACCTTTCCCTCCCCGACGCACCGTGCTCCCTGACGACGGCGTTGATCCTCAAACGATGACGCACGCTGGTGGCACTTTGGGGCCTCAATTGGGAGAGCCTCGAGGGCCCGACATGCCACCCCATCCAATTGCCCCTGCCACTACTGTCTTGGGAACAAACCATAATGAATTTGCTCGTGGCGGGATGCTTGCTTGCGATGTTGGCGCCATGAGCGACTTGGACGACGACGACGATGACGCTCCGCACACTCCCCATCGAGGACCGCACCAACCTCCGCCATCTGACGAACCCCTCCATCCTATCTGCCAGGGCCTGCCCCCCCCTGCACACCAAATGCAGAATGCGATGCGAGATCCCCCTGACTACCTGGTTCCAGGGCCAGAGATCCGAGGAGCAGTGTATGTTCTGCTAGAGAAACTAGACAATATCAGAATTGCCCTGAATGCCGAGGAAGTTCGCACACACATCCGTCGATGGCGCTGGTCGTTCTTTAATGTCGGCCTGATGTGGGCTGCAGCTGGAGACGATGATGTGCCACCAATTCTCTTATGGATGTGTCACATTTTGTCGGAGTATGGCACCGACATACAGAGTATGCATGGACTGATATCTAGAGAAACCACTATTAATGCTTTCTTGGGTTTACGGCATGCCTTCCGTACGTTTGGGATCAACGATGCGGATGGATTATCGCGATGGTTGCAAGCTGAAGCAGTGGCGGGTGGAACCAATGTACAACCACGGGGATACATATATATATATATATATATATATATATCAGGGCTACCGCAGCGAACACGAAACGCGCGATCAGAGCGGGCCGAAAAACCGCCGGGCGGGCGCGCCGAGACAGCGAGGGCAGAGAGCGCCGAAAAATGTCTGCTAAGCAGAGCTAAGGGAGGAGGAGGAGGAGAGGAAGAGGAAGAGGAGGGGGGGGGAAATCACACGACCTCCAAATCGGCCAGCCCGCAAGGAGGCTCCACAGGCGTCGTCGGGAGGTCACCGTAGGGGTTGTGCACTGCTCGGGCTACCGCTTTTTGTACAGCTATACCTAAGATGCCCCACCAGCGGTGCAAGAGCCCTGGGGCCATCCCACGCCGCACCCGAGGGTGGACACCTTTCGTGCGATCTTGCGCCAATTTTGGCACAAGCTCTACGGCTTGTTTTCCCCACCGGCCATAAGTTTCAACGGCTAGACACTGCAGCGACCCTAACCCGCTACTCAGGACGTCGTGGTATGTTGTGTTATTTTCTACTTCCGCCCTGTCTAGAAGTCTGCCCGCCGCATTGCTCGTGCTTCCTCTGGGTTGCCCATTTCTGGAGATAGGTGAGATAACCGTTGCATCGCAAAATAGTGGAAGCCCACGGTCTACCCCCAGACACGGCACAACCAAATCCATTCTTCGCATGTCTGTCGGTTGTACTGGAATGTTCGTGCGATTGAGCATTCGTTCCACGTTGCGGTCTGGCACAATCCCTCCCGCCTCGGTGAATACTTGCCTCCACCCCGCCACAACTTCTGTATGCCGCGATTGTGTTCGCCCCCCAAATCCTGAAGCTAAGAGTGCAAATCCGTGTGGGTCAGGCCCTTCCCATACGACAGCAATTCCCAAACGTCGTCGCACTGCGCACAATACTTCTGCGTTGGTGAATGTCATAATATCACAAATAGGGCATACCAGGAGCCATGTAGCTGAATGGGGCCCTGTTGCAGAGTTCAGGCGGGCCTTACTCGTAGATGCTGCATTCACCCGGGTAGACGGTAGAGCCAAATTGCGGCGTAGTTGGTTCTGCGTCGTCTGGGCGAGAGCATTCGATGCCATCAATTGCCATCCATGCCGCCACTCACCTAGAAGTGCCTCGGTAAATGATGGTTCGGGCGGCCGTTCGCCCGCTGCCACATTGGTCCAATTTGGTCGGTCGT